TAAATTTGATATCTTTTATGACAGTGTTGTATGCTCATTAATGCAGTGTAAATAAACCCAATCAATCAATGAGAGTACAGTAAAATATTTCAACGTAAAACTGAAAATGAAAACTGAAAGTTTACTTTATTTTCTAAAAAAAACAAAAAGATGCTGTTGAACAAATTATAACATGATCCAAATGTTAATTTATAGTCAAAAGGTCTAGAGATATATTTCAAACTCCTATTTCTGTTTATTTTTATCATTCATCTCCTAAGCAAAGAAAAGGAGCCTCTTAGGTTCTGGATCGACTTAATTCAAGAAATATGAAGTTCGTGCAACCTTTCCACCAGTTTTTCCTTCCACTAAGCTTCCCATTGATATGCTAGGACGTCCTCCAACTGACTATCAACCATAACTTCATGTTTCGGTATTAAAATAATTTCTAAACGGTCTGATATAAGATTAAAATTTTCAGAGAAAATGTATTAATTAATTTTCAGCCTTTAAAGTGACGGAAACACTAAGAGCTTCTGAACATCGAGGCTCATTAGTGATCCTATTTTTTTTATTTAATTTTCAGATAATAAAAAATTATCTTCAATGAGTAATGAATACATACGGTCGAAGAATAAGGCCTCTCATCTTGAAGCCGGCGGAAACCTTCGTCTTTATTTTGCGAGAAACATCCATTATTCCTCCCCTCACAGCTCAACTTTGGCGCTAAATGACAACTTCCGCACACATTTCGTCACTTCCGTACAAATTCCGCTACTTCCTTTACAGCAATCGATGCCAAAATAAAAGCGAGAAAACAGAGCTCTATAGATGAAAGATTTGGAACCGTAATAAATGAAAATATAAAGCTTACTTCCGCCTGTGCTACATTACAAATTATTTTCAGTATTAAGTGAACAAAACAATCAACACAGCACACGTTCCAGAACTGTAGAAACAGGCGATATGGCTCCCTTACCTGGGTGGCATGAACTACGGGGCGCACAGGTAGCGGGAATAATGTCAGATTTAAGTTGCCAATTTTTTTTAGTTGTTTATTTGCATGTTCATGTACTTTAAGTCATGTACTGCAAGAAATTGTCAATGTAGAGTGCAATTAGCTAATGTAGAATGCTGTATCTGATTTGTAGCATTCACTTTAAAGGGACACATTGAGCGTAAAACCCAATTTTAAAACACTTATAACTGGTTATTTAATGGTTCACACCAAATATACCTTAATACACAATAATACATACAGTGGAAATCATCTAGCATTACTCCAGAAGCTAACGTTGACTGTCTTCCTTATCTCTGCTGTTGGGGCTCAGTCAATAAGAGCTTGGTCAAAGCATATCTAAATTAATTTACATATAATTTGGAGCTACGTTCTGCAGAAAACTCCTTAATAATTGCAAATAGGTGGCGGGTTCACAGTATTTAACTTTTTTAATTAATCTGGATTGCATATAATTGTCTGTTGAGCAAAGTATATAAAAAATAAATAAACTTCCTTACTTTACCTGAAATATTATAAATACTTATATTTATCTAAATGTCTAAATCAATGCTGCAAACACTTCTTCACACTTACTAATGCTTACACACAACTAATCAACTAAAAGGCCCTCAGAGGGGTTGAGGTTTACTGGGAAAGTTACCTTTAAGGAACAAAATGTTTTGCTTTCTAAAGGTCTATTATATTGACATGGCACACTATAAATAAACTCAGAAAGATGAGCACACACTGTTTTTTGCTTGCTGTTTGTCTGGGTTGAGGGAAATAAATAGGCTTCCACTTTGACCCTCAATATGTAGCCTTCATCCCTTCTTTGGACATTTTTAGCTATTTGCAGAACTAACTATAAATAGTTAATTTATTTTGCAGTCAATTGCAGATGAAGAGGTTTTTATTCCCAGTGATGAAAGTTGCAATTTCATTCACATATCAATGTATTATTACACATAAATAACAATTATATTGAGAATAAATTACAAATTTTGTTTATATTGTGGAGTTTTAAAGTATACATATATCACTGTGTGTGTAAACAAACTGAATTAAAGAAATTAACAGGCTTTGGGGAGATTTTATTATGCTGTAAGTATAGGACCGGAAGTTGTCTTTTATTTTGTAGTAGTGTTTACACAGCTGATGGTGGAGACGATGAACTTGTTGTTGCGACTCGGGAGCCAAATGCTGAAATTAACAGTATGAGAAAAAGTAACCCTGCAGCTGGACGCGACCTGTAACCTGTGAGTATCTTTAAAACTGCGTTTCTTCTCTTTCGCGAGTGAGTAAACATGTTTTAATTTAAAATAAACGTTTCTTCCCTTTCTCAGCTGAACTGACAGGACTGAGGATGGACCCCGCCTTTGAGCGGCACTGCTCGGAGCTGGTGGCCCGGGAAAGGAGCGGACACACGGCGGTGGTGCTGGACAGCCTGCTGTATGTGTGGGGCGGCTACATGGTGAGAGAAATGCACAAATACGTCACCAGATCCACGGAAATCTACATGAAAAGCATTACTCCAGTACTGCGCTTAGCTACAGCTGTCATTTCGTGTCTTTGTAGTTTTTGGTCGTTTCGTGCCCGACCTACCGCAGGACGTTTTCCTACCATCAATTCCTACCTCCCCTTTTCGTGCCCAGTCCTTGCCATGGCATTTCGTACCAATTCATGCGAAACACTGCGTCTCAGTTTATCTTTAAGTGAAGTATTTTCATTAATTACTTTATTTTAGTTTATCGTTTTATTTCAAGTCAAAGAAGAAAAAAAATGCATGTTAAACCTTTTAGTAGATAAAATTAGAATATGTGTATATAAATAGACATAAATACAAATATATAATTACAGTACAAACAAGACATTGTCTAAGTCATCCAGTTAATTTTTACATAATAATACTCTGTTCTATTTGTACATAGAGAAACACATTTAGCTCCAAAAGGAGTGGAATAAACAATATATTACATGTCGTAAAATAAATGAGATTCTATACTATTATTATAAATATATGCTAAAATATATTGTGATACATATACATTTACGATGCAACAGGCTGATATATGTCACTTATTACCCCCTGATGGTTAAAGGCCATTTCATGCCCAGTAAATCAGGCACAAAACAACCTGAAGTACAAAGAGACGAAATGACCAACAATCTTTTAAGTCTGGTGCCAAACAGCCGTTTGTGGGAACTAAATGTTGCTACATATTAATTTCCTTCTTCCATTCTGTAAACAAACAGTTTAATAAATAATAACTAACTTTGTGTGGATTGATGCTAGTTATTAATTATCCTGTTTTGTTTTGCAGTCGATTGCAGATGAAGAGGTTTTTATTCCCAGTGATGAAATCTGGGTCTATGACTTGGAGGGAGGGATATGGTAAGAGTTCATGAGGTTCAGCTGACCTCCTGTTGACCTTCTACTGACCTCCTGTTGACCTTCTACTGACCTCCTGTTGACCTTCTACTGACCTCCTGT